AAGGATTGGGGTTCGTGGAGGTCAAATGACAGTCCCGGGACTTGCTTTTCTCCTTCCATTACAAGGCTGCCACGAATCAAACTCTGTCACCCGGCTTGGCAGCCAGGGCCTCCATCCATTGAGCCACCTCAGGAACCCAGAAACTAAGTTCCTACAGTGAGTTCAGAAAGTTTGCAAAACCCTGCACCACGCAGACCTGCCTCTCCCAAATCCCTAGGAGATATGTGATATTCCCTGCAGTTCGGATTAAGCTCTTTGTTTTGTTAGCTTGGGTTCGTGAAATCCTCACCACACCCTCAGAACTGTTATGATTCCCATTTGACAGATGGTGACAGACTAGGAGAGAGCCCAGGCTGGAAAGAGGTCACCCAGCTGGGAGGGAGAGGAAGGGGCGGGGCCAGTCTCTCCTGAGCCTGCGCACTTGATACCTGCCCATTTGCCCACTGGTTCCGCCTCTCCCGATCTGCTCCCACCTACGCCGAACGCCCAGAGCCAGCCAGTCCTCAGAGGCCCCTTAGAACTGTTTAGCGCATCCTCCTTACGCCCCAGCCAGCGGTACTGTGTCATCTCCCCCTTTTGCTGGCTAGAAAGCTGAAGCCTCTCATCCGAAAACAAAAAAGCTGCAAAGTCTCTCCAAGAATCCACCATGCTACCCCTTCCTCCAAACTCCCTCCTTGAGAAGCAAAGAAAGAAGGCCAAGAATGCGACCTTGGCTTCGGGCTGTCCTTCAAAAGAGTGCTTGACAGTGGCCAGGTGGTACAGGCCTGTAGTTTTTAGCCAGGTACTTGGGGAATGGAAGCAGAAGGGTTGTGAGTTGAAGACCAGCCTGGGTAACTTAATGAGATCCTAAGTCAAAACGAAAGTAAGGCTGGCATAGTGGCTCCTGCCTGTATTACCCGCACTAGAGAAGCAGAAGCAGGAGGATCTCTGTGAGTTACGGGCCAGCCAAGAATACATATTAAAGTAAAGGATTGAAAACGTCATTCAACCATAGAGTGCTTGCCTAGACTCACCCAGTGAGGGGCTGGGACAGTGGCTCAGTGGTAGAGCCCTGCCTAGACTTCCCCAGTAAGGGGATTGGTGCTCTTGTGTTCTTGGCTACCATGCACAAGGCCATATATTCACGCCCTTAAAAATCCTTAGTATCTGGACGGCAGCACACTCTCCAGGCCTGTTCCCTTTTCTGCAAAAAGGAAATCATAAGAAGTAACATGCCCACACAGCCGTGGTTAAGTCTCAAATTAGGTAGTACCTGCAAGTTTCTTAAAACAGCAGCCCATACCCCTCAGTGTTAGGACATGCTCCCAGCAGCCCTGTGTGATTAGACCATTTACTTCCAAGTTTGTTTCATGAAAATGAAATTCATTGTATTCATTCACATTAAGTCAGAAATTAGGAAAGTTAGGCTCTGTCTGCCTATTATTATTTTTTAATTATGATTTATTTTCACGCATGCGTGTGTGTGTGTGTGTGTGTGTGTGTGTGTGTGTTGGAGATCAGAGGACAACTTGCAGGAAATGCATGCAATGCAGGAGTCATTTCTCTCCTTCCACAATGTGGATCCCAGGGATCAAATTCAGCTTCTCACGCAGGTTAGCAAGCACTGAGCCTTCTCATCAGCCCAGACATGGACTTCTTAACACTGAATCACAGTTTGATCCTTCACAGGGTTTGAGTGAATGGAACATTTTCTGAATTAATAATATAAGACTCAGAGAGGGTAAGGATATAGCCAAGTCACCCAGTATGTAAATGACAGAGCCAGGATTCAAGCCCAGGCTTCTGTGTGTCCAGTTTGAAGCCCACCTGTGCACCAATGAACTCCTGCCTACAGCTTTGTAGAGACAGGAAAGGGTGAAGCTGCCCTTCTCCATTGTGGTGTGGGTGGCCCTGGTTCTGGATCCTGTCCAGACTGGGTAACTGTCCCCCTGAAAGCACTGGTGTGGCACAGATGAAAGGAGAAGGTGCAGCCCCCTCCACCTACCTCTGATTGGGGCCTTGCAATCCCCCAGGATTTGGTGCTTGGAAAGCTGACGTTGGGTTGCTATGGCGATGGGTTTGGGGCGGTTGCCATGACAGCAGAACTAGCCTTGGTTTAAAAATATCTAGGAGGAGGTTTGTGTTTGTGTGTGAGTGCTCGACCGACCATGCTGTTTTGTGTGGGTCCAAACGGGAGTGTTTGGGAGGGCTGGGTGGGACAGGGGCTGTAGGCCCGACGTGGGCAAAGGCGTGGGGGCTTCTTAACACACAGCAATCCAAGTGTGCTGTGCACCTGCCACTGAGTGGCCCTGAAGTCCAGTCATTGTGTGTGCCAGACTTCGCTGGTCCTGTATGGAAATGTGCACAGTGCCCAGGTCATGTTAAGCTATAAGGAAGGCCACTCAGTTTAGACTGCCCATGTCACTGACACGTATGCCTTATGTAAGTGATGTTGTATGTTTCTTGTGGCTTTGGTCATGTATGTGGAACTTCTGGAGGGGTATGGGGGAAGCAGATTTGGAACTGTGAGTCTAAATATGCCTACATGGGACGTACTCGGATATTAGGTGTCACTGCTTTGATATTAAATCCACATCTGTCTGTGTGTGTGTGGGAGCCTGTGCTGTGGTTTTGGTCTGAATGACTGAATGTACATTATAGGTGTGTGTGTGTGTGTGTGTGTGTGTGTGTATGTGTGTCTGTGTGTACACCAGTGTCTCGGTGGTCCCTTCCTGTCAGTCTTTCTGAATCAGTGTGAAGCGTGTGCCCCACAGGACTTGGTATGTATGTTAGAAGAGAACTTCACATGCAACTCCATGGGTGTTGGAAAATGTCACCTGTGTAGTGTGGCTCTGTGAAGTCCTAAGGTGTGGATCTTAGCGCAACCTCAGTATTTCCCTGCATCCCCTCTTGCCTCTTCTCTGTCTCCATGGCAACCAGCTCCTCAGCTCCCTCCAGGAAGATAGAGGGGGAGGATCCAGACTGCAGTGGACCACAACCCCCTCCCATCCCCCTTGGCTGAAGGGACAATGGGGGGAGGGGACAGATGGGCGTCCACCTCATCCACCCCAGGCCATCTGCTGCCTCCACTGTCCTGGGGACCTGAGAGCATAGCATGGGAGGGGCAGGTAGGGTAAAGTAGATCCCAGTGCCACAGACCACCCCCCCCAGCTGCCATAGTTACTCCTTCCTGGACCCCTCTGGGGCTAAACCTCTTGCCTCTGACCAAGCTAGAAAGGGAGGAATCCCTGGAGACCAGAAAATGCATATATCTGAGAATACAGTATATTGGCAACAGCCCACTCTGAGGAAGTGCCTCCTGTGGCTTCAGGTTCTGGAATTAGGCTTGTCATCCGTCCAAATCCCAGTTTTCTCTCTGTCTAGCCATGTGCCCTTGGAAAAGCCTCTCTACAGCCCACTCTGTCATCTGAAAATCGAAATTTTCTAACAAGTGACCAGAATGATAACACTTACTCTACAAAGCACGGAGGCTGTTTGTTCCATGCTGTGGACTGGGGTCCAGAGCAGTATCTGTCACTCGGTGGGTGGGCCCTCAAAACTGTCGATGGGAGCAAGTGCCAGTTGGCTTCTGGGACAGCTACTTGCTTAAACTGGATTTTAGTTCTGAGATCCGGACAGCAGCCTGTGTCCACTCCTCATGGAGAGATGATGATCCAAAGGGGAATTTCCTCGCCGACAGCCAGGTGACATGAAGGAACATCTCTTGTTTCAACCAAGTGGTATCAGAGCCCTTGCCATTGTCTCCTTTTCTTTTTTTCTTTAGGTTTGTTTGTTTGTTTGTTTTGCTTTGGTTGCTGTTTGTTTTCTTAACAAAGGGTCTTACGTTTGTAGCCCAGTTTGGCCTCACACTCAAGGCAATTCTCCTGCCTCCTCCTGTCAAGTGCTGGGATACATGAGTGAGTGCCCACACTTGGCTGTTCGGGGTGTCTACGGCTCAGTGTCCTCATCAGTAAGACAGAGTAGTAAAAGTTCATCTTATCGTTGTTTCCCAGTGGGATTCGGTAAGAATCCCCTAGAACCAAAAGGCAGCTAGGGATGCTGTGCACATCCCCCTAATCCAAACACTTGGGGGATGGCGGCAGGAGAATCAGAGGTTCAAGGCTGGCCTGAACTACATAGTGAGTTCAAAGCCAGCTTGGGCTACTTTACACTCTGTCCTGCCCCGCCCCTCCGCAAATAAAAGGGTGAAGGGTAAGGAAGTAAGGCGTGGAGGAGCCTCGCAGTCCTTATTATACCCTGCGGGGGGGGGAGTCAGGTCTCTCGCTTCCAAGTGGTGGGCGTAGCCAACCCGGAGACCGTGGCCCAGGCTTCAAGGGTGGACCAATGGGCACGCCGAAGGGCGTGGCCTTGCCAGGCATGGGCGTGACCTTGCGCGGATGGGAGGGGCCAGGACGCTGTGGGAGCCTAGGCTGAGAAGATGCTCGGGCCAGCAGCCACCACCAGCAGCCCCGTCTCCGCTGCCGACCGTGCCCGCCGCCCCCCGGGCCCCCACTAGCGGCCGCCTTCGCTTCTTATCTCCGGCCCCCCGTCCTGAGCAGGGCCTTGGGAGGGGGGCTCGGCCCTTCGCATTTGTGGGGAGCCCCCAAGAAAGGATACAGGGAGAGTGTCCTGTCTCCTCTGCACCCCACTGGCTCAGCCAAGTACTCGGCTTCGGTGATCTTTGAAAGCCCGGACCCCACCCCTCAGTTCTCCATCCCAGACGCCCCCCGTACCCTCTCCACCCTGCTCTCCTTCGCCCTCCCAGCTCTGTCAGCGCTCTTCCCCCCCCAGCCCCCTCCCGCTTCCCTCCCCGCCGCTCCCCTCCACCCTCCCCGCCCCCCCCCCCCCCCCCCCCCCCCCCCCCACCATGAGGATGATGGCCGCCGGCGCGGTGCACGGCCTCTTCACGGCCTCCGCGGCCCCGCAGCCGCCGCCGCCCCCGCCGCCGCCGCCGCCGCCGCAGCCCCAGCCTCCCCAGCAGCCGTCGCCGCCGCCACAGCAGCCGCCGCCGCCGCCGCAGCCGCCGCAGCAGCAGCAGCCGCCGCCCCAGGCCCCCCCCATGGAGCCCGAGGCCCCGGATTCCCGCAAGAGGCCCCTCGAGACGCCCCCCGAGGTGGTCTGCACCAAGCGCAGCAACACGGGAGGTGAGGCAAGGCTGCGGGACCGCGGCGTGGGGCGTGGGGGGGGGGGAGGAATCGCGCGCCGAAGGGGCCATCGCCGTCCTCCATCATCCCCCCCCCATCCCTGGCTGGCAGGTGCAAGTGCTCTGGGGAGGGGAGGAGCACCCCTACGCGAGGAGCTGTGGACCGGACGGACCCCTTTCTCTTGTCGCCGAGGCCCTGGGGGCTGAGAGCTTTGTCTGCGACGAGAGGGGCTGGGGGGGAGGGGGTGGTAAGTGTCCTTGTGGTGTCTGAGGGAGCCGAGGATGAGGGGTGTGGGTCCCTCCTGGGCCAGTGTGTCCTTGAGGGGTGTGTGATGTGACCCTTTCGGGGCAGGGGTGTTTCCTCGGGCTTGCGTGTCCCGGTTGGGGGAGGGGAAGGAGTAGAGACAGGCCTGTGGACCAGGAGCTTCTGAGCCTCCCTCCCTGGGGATGTCCTGAGCAAGGGTTGTCCCGGAAAGGGGAGGGTGTGGACAGTAGGCAGGACCATGCACGGAGACCGCTGGGTGGGTGTGTTGGGTGACATGGAGGAAAGGGTGGGTGTGTAACTGGAGGGGAAGGAGATGGAAGGCTAGCTAGGACAGGTATGTATCTGTGGTGGGTCCTGGAGGGCCTGGATAGGTGCCATTAAGAGAGCATGGATAGGACAGGGTAAGAAGGTGTGAGGATAGGTGTAAAAGACAGCTGAATTCAAGACCCTCCAGGGTAGGTGTGTGACGAGGGAAGGTATGTGCTTGTCACTCTGGAGGGGGCTCTTGTACCGTGACACACAAGTGCAAGGGGGGGTGTGACATGCAAGGGGGTGTGGAGGGCGGCAGAATGGATGCACTCCGGCTTTGAGCCCTGAGAGTGCGTGTGGATCAGGGAAAGGGTGGGGGGGGATATCGGTGTGTATAGGGTGGAGTGGGACCGGAAGAAGCTGGTATGTGGATGTGGGATGTGTGTGACAGGGAAAAGGGTGTGGGTGTGACTCCACTGAGGCTAGGGCCGGGTGTGACACATGGAGGTGTTCGGCAGTGACATCAGAGGGGAGTGTGTAATTGGGGGTGCTGGGGTTACGAAAAGGGAGAGCTGGGGCTCACGCTGCCTTGAAACCCCACTGAGGGTGTGTTCACAAGGAAATCAGAAAATGGAGTTCCGGGCGACTGGGGATATCCGCCTAGGACACGGCGGAGTGTGGAGAGCCAAATGTGTGGAGATGTGGAACACGGGGAGGTGTGTGGAGAAAAGCTGGGTGTGTCGCCCCGGAGATGTGGGAGAGATGCAGGGTTTAACAGCGGAGGGCGTGCGTGTGTGCATTTGTGTGTGAGGCAGCTCACCGTCAGATACCTCAGAGACGTGGAGACTACACAAAACCGAACCCTCTGTGTGTGTCATCCTGGAGAGGCGTGCATATGAGAAAAAGCAATGCTAAGCAGGGGGCTTGAGATGCTTGATGATAGCGGCTGCAGGAGACAAGTAGGACATGGGAGAAGGGGGTCCCCAGAGCTCTCTGCTCTCTGATAGGAGGGAGACCCCAAAATCAACAGCTTGTCCCTCACGATCCTTCTGTCTAAAATCCCCTCTTCGTCTTCTCTTGAACAAACAGTGAACATAACCTTCCTCCAGCCTGTCTCAGCAGCAGTCAGGTGCCCGCTCTCCACTGCCTCCCCTGGGCCCCCACCTCCTCCTGTCACCCCAGACCCCCTCACCTCCACCTCCAGCCAGGTTCCCTTGGATGCATGGGAGGGTGCTCAGCAGAAATTGGAGGAAAGGGAAGTTGGGGGAGGGGTGGAAGAGAATTTCCTGTCCGTCTTCCTGCACCCACCCCCAGCACACACATGAAAATGTCCAAAGCCGACTTCCTTTCTTCTTCCTGCCATGCTGCTGTTGCCAGTCCCAGTAAAAATCAGGGACCCAGATTTGGCTAGGCGACACTTTACAGTGAGCGGCTGCTAATGGAGGCCACTTCCCTTCCGTGCTTCAGTGTGGTCCTTATGCCACCAGGCAGGCTCGGAGAGCTGGGTGAATTTCTCCACACAAGCCCCTAAAGAGATTATTTGAGGTGTCTTTTTACCAGGGAGGGAAACTGAGGCTCAGTGAGAAGAAACAGCTTGTCCAAAGTCACAGGACTCCTAAGTGGCAGATCTGGAATTTATTGAACCCTGGACTGATTGGTCTCAGGTCACGGAGACTTAACCACTGGGATTTCGTATTTCCTTCTACAGTGGCAAAACTAAGTGGAGTCTTCAGGAACCATAACCCGCAAACCCTTTCTCACGTCCAGACCACGTATGGAGAAACTGAGGCCATGAGATACAAAGGGGTAGTTCCCTATTGAAAGGAATGCCCTGGGGCAGGGCAAGTGTTAATGACTTTGATCTCAAAATTGCTGGTTCCTTTCTATGGGGACAGTGGTGGCCGTGAGATGCTTGATCCGATCCCTGCACCTTTGTAAGCTTCTGTGTCCCCAGTTTCCAAACACAGACATGACAGTAACTACACTGATGATGCCGTAATGGCTAGCGTCCCACTCCCCCAACATGCCATGATGAAAAAACAAACAATAAATTATAATAATGGCTAACGTTTATGGAGCCAGGAAGTATTATGGGAAGTGCTGAACACGGATCATTGAGGGTTTCCAATCCTGTTAACCATCTTTCAAAATGAACAACTGAAGAACAGAGGGTGTTTGGAAACATGGGCATGATCATTCAGCTGAGAAGTAGAGAGGCTGTGATTTGAACTCAGGATGGCGGCTTCGCTGTGCGGGCAGACTTGATGTTGAATGCCCTGTTCAGAGGATGATTTTGAGGTGCAGAGTGGTGAGGGCCTCTATTAGGGCGATAACAGACCAGACTGCTGCCCTCCTCCTTGTTCTTAGGGGCAATGGGAAAAAGAGGAGATATGGCTGGTGTCTGGACACCTGGCTGGCTGACAGATGCCATTGGGAGAAAAAGGAGGTATTCGGGGCAAGAGAATTTCAGTGAAGAGATTGGAAGAAAATCTAGCTTGGAGAGTTATTTGAAGACATAAAAGAAACTGCCTGTAATCCCAGCAATGGAGAGGTTAAGGCAGAATGATTGGAAGTTCAAAGCCACACTGGGCTACATAGCCAGACCCTGTCTCAAAATCAAAAGTAAAGTAAATAAACAAATAAAAAAAATGGGGCTTGGGAGGAAGCTCAGCTGTGGAGCCTTTGCCTAGAATCCCCTAGTGGGGACTTGGGCACATGTCACAGTGGTAAAGCCCCTGCCTAGAATCCCCCAGTGAGGGGCTGGGGTGTGGCTCAGTGGTAGAACCCCTGCCTAGAATTACCCAGTGAGGGGCTGGGTGTGTGCCTCAACAATCAAATACTTGCCCAGCATGTGCAAGGCACTGAGTTCCCTACCCAGTACCAAGGTTTGGGGAGACTTAAGACTGTCCCCAGAGAGAACCTCAAGGTGGCCCAGCAGGTACAGGTGCTTGCTGCATATGCCTGGCCATGTGGATGTGATCCCTGGATTCCATGTAAAGGTGAAAGGAGAGAACCACCTCCACAAAGTTGTCCTCTGAGCTCCGTGCACACAGCGTGGCACACGAACCCACACATACATTCTGCACACACAATAATAAGAAATAAATTTAAAGGAGGGGCACCTATAGCGCAGACCATGATATTACTGGTACTTTCACCTCAACTACCCCGCCACCTGCAGGCACAAGATATAAGTCACAACCCAGGAGGTCTCCACCCAGATCTCAACTCCAGTGTCCCTTACCCCTAACACAAAGAAAAAGTCACCAGGACAAGAGCCCTGGAAGGATCGAAGGCTGGAGAGATGGCTTAGCAGTTAGAGTACATGTTCTTCCTGCAAAGGATCCGGGTTCAATTCTCAGCACCTACACAGTGGTTCACAACCAGCTGTAACTACAGTTCTAGGAGACCCGGTGCCGCCTTCTGACTTCCGAGGGCACTAGGCACGCATGCTGTGCACCTACAATGCTGGCAAGTATTTTTAAAGATTCATTTTATGTCTCCAAATATTTTGTATATCTGTGCACTGTGTGCTTAAGCAAAGTACTTATACACATTAAAAAAAAAGCCATGGAAGGAAATCTTGCAACGTTCAAAGCATATCATTGCCATGTGTTTGGATGTCAGCAAGTAATGTCAACGCTCCGAGCCTCAGTCTCCCCTCTACAGAATGGGGACTGCTCAAGATAAGCTGACCGGCCTGCCTGGTTCTGTCTAGTTACTGAAATTCCCTGTGAGAGCTAGGCGCGGTGACCCATGACAGAAATCCCTCCTGGTGTACATGCTGTTTCTGGGCATCCAAACTTTTGCTGGCTTGTACTGTCACTAATGAGCCACCTCCCCGCCCCAGCATGGCTCGCAACTCTGCCACCAAGAACCTGGAAGACTAATTCCTTTTTATTATTTATGTATTTATTTATTGGTTTTTCAAGACAGGGTTTCCCTGTGTAGCTCTGGCTGTCCTCGAACTCACTCTGTAGACCAGGCTGACCTCAAACTCAGAGATTCACCTCCTGAGTGCTGGAATTAAAGGTGTGCACCACCACCAAACTAGCTAATCTTTTTATTTTTAATTACTTTAATTATTTCAAATTGTGCATGTACATATGCTTGTATGTGTGGGTGCCATCAGAGGCCAGAGGTGTGGGACCCCCCTAGACCCAGAGTTACTAGCAGTTCTAAGCCAACAGGTGTGGGTACTGGGAACCAAACTCCAGACATTTGCAAAAACAGTATGTGCTCTTTACTGGCTTGCTTGCTAGCTCTTCAGTCCCAGAATGATAACTTTTTTTTTTTTTTGGTCATTTAAGTGAGAGTTGCCCTGAGGGGGCTTTATCCTCGCTTTTTGTTTGGCTTGGCTTGTTTATGATCATATTACATTTATGCATTCAAGTGGAGGGCATGTCAGGTCAGCTTGCGGAAGCTTGCTCTCTCCTTCAGCAGGATGGGTCCCAGGCATCAAGCTCAGGTCACTGGATTTGGTGGCC